AAAAAATTCCCAATACACAGCGCATCCAATATATATATATATATATATATATATATATATATATATATATATATATATGTGTGTGTCATCCACAGACTGTTTCGCAGTTCTTCAGTGTGGCTAGACGTCCGATTGCATTGAACTGGGATCGAAACACAATCAATTTGGCATCAGTCAGATTTTCTACCCTTGGCTATCGACGCACGGCAAAGAGAAACGGAAATTTTAACATTTTCTATGCGAAATACATTAATGTCCCGGGGAGCTAAATTCAGTTCGGTTTTCAAACCAATTCGTTATTAGCAGTAGGAGTCACTGTTTTTAAAATTACCCTTTTCTCAAGAGAGCTCCACCGGATTTTCCGGGAACATTTATATTGTCATCCACACACAGACTGTTTCGCTGTATCACAACTCTTCAGTGTGGCTAAACCCGACCGATTGATAAGCAGGTAAAGAAATTAATTTAAACTTAGTATAAAATAACAAAAGTGAGTAAAACTGCAGACAATTACTTAAACAATCTGGAGAATGAACGGAATAATCACAAAATTATAACCTTCGAAAATCTAGAGTCGAGGTGCTGAACATAACATTAGTCAACTAAGCGACACATTTTAATTGTATCAATCATATATATATATATATATATATATATATATATATATATATATATGTGTGTGTGTGTGTGTGTGTGTGTGTGTGTGTGTGTGTGTGTGTGATGTATGTGCGTGCGTGTGTGGGTGGGTGTGTCTTGGGTTAATATTTTTAATATTTTTCTAGGACGAAACGTGTGACAAGAAAATTTTTACAATTTGTCATACATTTTTTCACCAGTATTCTTTCTGATATAAAAATATATATATATATATATATATATATATATATATATATATATATATATATATATAAGTGGTCACTGAAGTCCAGAGGCGAAAGTCTGCTTCATGCTTGAACGCAATTGTCAAGCCATATGCGGTGTGCTTTTGTTTGACTGCATATCAAATTAATCTAATGGCTGTTGAGTGGAGATAATTGTTTCCGGGTGCAATTCTGGTGCTATTTATGATATTTTTTTTATTAACTTTTAAAAAATTTATTATTGATTATTTTATTGTTGTATGTTATTATTACGTTTATATGAGTTTTTGTGTGAGTTCGTAATTTGCTAATTTGTTTATTATTTACTTATTTATTGGTTTGTATTACTTTATTTTCCTAATTTGTTTTGAAATGTTCTAGCGTGACGTCATGCGTAAACGATTTTTGAAACAAGGCTACACACAAACAATGCGATTTATTTATTAATTTATTTATATTATTTTTTTATATTTACTTTCATTTTTTTAATTTTTTTATAATACTGATAAAATATATGCGCGCATTAATTATATCATATGCACTTCACAATATCTACCTATGTGGTGACAGATATTTCAATTCATGCGTACTGTTATTATCGTATAATAATAGTTTCCAGTTCTGAATCTTTCCTTTCGTGTTGAATTATATTGACAGTTGTACTTTGGTCGATCATGATGAACCGGTAGATGTGTGCACGGATTCTATTTTTTTAAGCATTTCAACCCAAGCAAGGTGAGAAGTCCCTAGCACGCAAGGGGTTACAGAGGGTTGGAGTGAGAGCAAAAATGAGTGATAGAGGAAAGGATGAATAGAAGGATAGGGGATATATCGGGGCATTTGGAGACGTCGATTGACATTACATTTGAATAGTTGGAGATTATAGCAACCAGGGAAACAAGAAAAGGGAGGGAGTTCCACAGGCGAGAGGTGCGAGACATGAAGCTATTGGTGTAGAAGAGACGGCTACATTTAACAATTTATGACAGTGAAAGGATGAGAGCGAGATGCCAGCCTAGTAGAATGCTTAAAATCATGAAGTCTGGGAACCAGCGAAAGCAGCTCATCTGCGCAGTTACCGTGTAAGTATTTGTAAAAAAGGCGGAGAGAGCTGACGGCACGTCTGTGCGACAGCGACTACAGACGAGATGCCATATCAGACATTGCATATCCGTCTCTGGATTTTATCAAGAACCTTGAGACAAACAGAAGGGGTTGCAGACCATATATAGCAGCAATACTCCTTGCAAGGGTGAATGGTTGATTTGTAGAGTTGAAGGATCGGCTCCGGCGAGAAAAATTTCCTGGTGCGGCACAGGGAGCCAAATTTCTTAGTGGTGGACGAGGATTATACCGAGTATCGACAGGTGACATGTCATTCTGCGAGAGAGTGTAGTACATGTGTTTCCAATATAAGTATTTAATATTGTTTTTTTTTATCATTATAAGTGTTGGGGATGCAATCTCACAGGGGTGGGCCATGAGAATGTATAGACGATATTATTTTTACAAAGGAGCATTTAGAAGTTGTTGTTGGTTTGGTTTGGGGCATATCGACCGCAATGTGTCATTTAATACCGACAGTTTTTATTGCTGGTAATCTTTCTTTTCAAAAATGTGTTGCTAGTAATATTTTTTTTTCTTAAAAAATCTATTTCTAGTAATATTTTTTTATTCAAAAAATCTATTTCTTGTAATATGTTTTTCTAAAGTGTATTGTTGGTAATATTTTTTTCTTGAAAAATTTATTGCAGGTAATAACATTTTACAAAGTATTACAATCTATTTTTAACCTTTCATAGTCTTTCCACCCCGGTTTAAGGGGTCAACTATTTGCCCATAGCTGGCACCCTAATAAGTTCCACTACCCTGGGTCAGTGTGGATCTGGGAACACAATCAATTAATTTGCATAAGGGTGTAGTTTTGTTATAAGTTGGCTATTAACATTATTATTTTCTTTACAAATTAATCGGTATTTATATACAATCCTTTCTTCTTGTTCATTAAAAGGCACAGAACATTTCACAGGCGAAACCTCGTTTCCTTGGGCGATTAAATTGATGAGAATTGTTGAGTTGTATATATTTTTACACTAGATGAGTAGCATGCCGATTTCGTCTAACTTGAAAACAAGTTGATCATTTTCTACTAAATTCGGAGGAGCAGAACTGTGTAAATAAACTTAATCCCATTGGGACTTGTTGAAAATGTTCATCGACTGGGTCGATTTGCACTAATTACAAGGGATTAAAGAAAAGAAACGAGCGTGGAAGATCGTATATCAATGTCAAATGCCGACGCATATATATATATATACATACTGGGTTTAGCGAATTTTCACGGAAATCTCGCTGCAGAACGAGACTATCAATCGAGATTAAGTCAGTCTTAAATGTATACTCTCGGGGATAAAATCGTGACCAATGTTAGGCACTAATGTAAAAAAAACTTGTGTTAGACGTTGCATAATGTTAAAACTGATGAGAGTCGTTCTTTTCTTTATCGAATATTTCGTAAGTGTTTTCCCAGGAGTGGCATTAAGTAAAATGGGAGGAGTTTTCTTTTTTTTTTATCTTTTTTTTTCGTGGAATATTTCGTTTAAATATAGCAGGCAATGTATGAAGTAAAACAATATTTATATAAAATGATCGTCAAGATGGTACGATTTTTTATGGAGATTACGGAATTTAAAAAAATATATTATATAATCCCCTTCCTGATCTTGGCATATAAATTTGGTTTTGACATAAGATATCGACGTTTGAGAAAAAGGGATTGATTCGAAAAAAATAGTGTAAACAATAATGAATGATTACGAGAAATAGAATGAACGTCAAAGAAAATAGAGAGGGAGGTGGGAATCAAAACAATACATGATCACATCACCAAAAGACAACCCAAAATTACAACAAAAAGTGAGTGCAACGTAAATATCCGAGTTCAAGTACGAACACTATTCCTAGGATGATGTGGGAAATATATGTTTATATTTACTTTGCCGTAAAAAAAAAAAATATTTATCAATACTCCCATAAATTTGAAATACATGTTCTAAAAAAATATTGCCTACCAAACTCTAATTTCTAGATAATGACTAATAAAAAGCACAACGCAAAACATGAACTCCGAACAGTTTATCTACATTCTAGAAAAAGCCATTTAAAGAAGAAGCGCCCTCCAAAAGGGTTCAATGGTGCGTCTCCATTAGCAGGAGAAACCAGCGTTTAAATCACCATACTTTGAATAATCGGCTACGATGATTTTCAAAAATAAGCAGTATATATTTTCTAGGAAGTGATCGGATGTTCAAATAAGAACATCCACTAAAAATAACGCTTAAAATAATTCATATATATACAGTGCTGTTCGATAAAAGTGACTCACCAGATTTTTTTTTTTACTAAATGTCCTCTTCTCCGATGAAACGAAAGTTGAACTAAATTCAAAGGATAAGCGATCTAAAATTCGAAGAAGAAGCTTTGAAAGCTCTTTGAATTTAGCAGTAAGTACTGTCAAGCATCCGTTCAGTATAATGTTCTGGGGGATGCTTTTCTTTTCATTGAACTGGTTTCTTAAAGCCTATTGAAAAGACCCTCAGGAGCGAGCAGTACAAGAGAATTTTAGAGTCTTGTCTGCTCCCTTCTGCTGAAAGGGTGCAAATCGAACCCACCAAGCTCATTTTTATGCAGGATAATGTTCCCTGTCACAAATCAAAATTGATGAAGGAAAACTTTGATGAGAAGCAGGTGAGTGTTATAACATGGTGACCCCAATCTCCTGATCTCAACCCCATAGAAAACTTATGGAGCATTATAAAGTACAGGCTCTCGAGAAAGCTGTTGAGTAACATCTAAATATAATAGCATAAGCCTTTTTCTACTGTCGTCATTCATGGGTGCAACAGGCCTGCCATTGTTGTGCCTGTCATTAAAGACACTTTCACATTTTCTATCCTATACTGCCAATGGTGACTGACACATCTAATGACGGTGCGTATATTAAAACAGCTACCATAAAATTTTATATAGAAAATACAGAGAGAAACCACATCTCGCCTGTGGTCTCGCTTCTTAAGTGAAGATGCCATGTCAGATCTGCAATATTATTGGCCCTGACTTGGCATCTCCTTTTCAGTCAGATTATCGCCACGTTAAAACACCGGTTCTCTTATGATTGCTGTAGTTAAGCAACGACAAGTTAGGATAGTACTTAGTTGGGTGACCGCTTGGGCATACCAGGTCCTGTAAGCTTGGATGTGCTTGTGGTGTAATGGATAATGACAGGGAATTGCTAATCGGAGATCAGAGTTACAATTTCAGATGGATTCCTTATATTTACTTAGGCTCATAATATCCAAGGAAACAGTATGGCTCCATCTCTTTTCCCCACAGCTATAGGTTAATTAGTATGAAATATCACTAAGCCATTATTTTCTCCAAGCAATGGAATAAAATTGCTTATAAAACACTTAGATTCCGGCAGAAATATACCATAGAGGATGATATGTCATTAAACAAAAACAACGAACCAACAATCGACTTCTCCCACTATCCCTCTGCTGTTACGTGGCTTCCATCTTTTCTATAAATATTCTCATGATAATTGCTCTAATACACACACTACAAACAATGATTTGTACATATGGGGATTAGTTCTGAATTTCATAGAGATCTTGAGGTATTATGGTGGATGTAGTAAGAAAAGTAAGAATGTGTTGTTTTTGTGGTAGGAATATTGTGGTATGTTTGGGTCAGTGTTCGTGGCTAGCTAAGTTTAATGTTAAGGCAGAACAAGACCGTCCTCCTTGGTACTCATTAGGGCTAGGTTTTTAATTGTTCTATTCTCCATCCCTGAAAATGAATTGTACATATGGGGACTAGTTAGGATTTTCATAGAGACAATAAGGTATTTGGTGGATGTAATAAGAAAGGTAAGTAAAAATGTGTTGTTTTGGTGGTCGGAATATAGTAGTAGTTCTGGGTCTTTGTGGCTAGCAAAAATAATTTTAAAACATCTTAAGTCTATTCGAAATTTAATAAACTCTGTTTTACCTGTGTCTATGCGCGTGTATGTGTATGTGTATTATAATATTAAAGGTAATGGTCAGGTTAATACTAGCCGTTTCCTTATAAGGAAACATTCGGTATTTACACAGTAGTTGTATAAGATTGCAGCTTAAATTCCTAGTATATATAAAACTTAATTTTAAAGCATCTTTATAAGTGTATTTGACATGGTTCTTGTGAGGTTAACTTCATATAACTGATAATCGTTCAGAAAATAACTATCGAAATCATTTTTGCAACATATTTCAAAACCTCCTACCACTAGAACATTGTTCTGCTATCAACGAGCAGAATGGGACTCATTCCGGGATTTCCTTCGCAATGTCCCCTGGGATGTTGTCTTTATGCTCCCCGTTAAGAATGTGCTCCGGAGGCCTCCTCCTGGGTTAAAACTGCAATCGTGACTTTCATCCCCTCAAGGAAATATAAGGTCAAATCGCGCTCCTCCCCTTGGTTCTCTGCTGCTTGCTCTGCTGCCTTTGCCCATAGGAATCCCTCCTTCCACCTATATCGTAGCGACATGTCTGATTGAAACAGACGTCTTTTTTCTCTGCCCGTAACGAGTGTAAGCATGTCCCTGATGAAGCAAAGTCACTATTTGCTGCTTGAATGAAAGAACGTATATCATCTCGCAAATTCGGCTTCAAGGATTATTGGCGTCTTTGCAAGAGCGTACTTAGCAATAGCAAACCCTCTATAGCTCCTTTGTTCAACCACTTTCAGGTTCTGATCTCTCCTGCCGACAAGGCTGAATACTCGGCTCTTTCGGTGTATCCACATCCGATTTTCCCCTTAGAACTGAGGCTCTCTTGAGTGCGTTGCAGATAACCCCGTCATCGGTATTGCGCATTATCTCTAAATTAGAGCCCCACAAGGTTAGTGGTGTAGACGGGATGCCAACCTTTGTCCTGAAGAAAAGTGCGACTGAACTGGCCCCTGCCCTCTCCAAATTATATAACTACTGCCTCAATGAATCTTGTTTTCCAGACTGTTGGAAATCCTTATCCATTGTTCATCTTTTTAAGAACTCTGGAGACCCTTGTGACCGTCCTATCACTCTTCGGCAAAGTCTTCGAAGCTTTAACAAACGCCGAAGTGGTTAAGCACCTTACATCCCATGATCTGCTCTCCGACAAGAAATATGATTTTCCGCTTTGCCCGTTCTACAACTGATGTGCTTACTGCCATAACTGAAATTGTTTACCAAGCACTTCATAATAACGGAGAAACTCGTGCCTTAGCTCTAGATATCTCCAAAACATTTCATAGGGTTTGGCATGCCAGCCTTCTTCGCAAGATTCAGGGTTATGGAATTTCAGGTCGATTGTTTGACTTAATACAATCATTCCTGTCAAACCGTGTATTGAAGGTTGTTCTCAACGGATTCTCCTCCAGCTCCTTCCCACGAAGACAGGTGTTCCCCAAGGCTCTATCCTAGGCCCTACTCTATTCCTTATCTTCATTAACGATCTTCCTGATGTCATAGGTTCCCAAGTAGACATCTATGCGGACGACACTACTATTTACTCCTTCCTCAAAAACAAATCTAGTGTCGCTGACAAGACTAAACTGGTCGTTTGTCTCGAAAAGGAACTCCAATCGGTTGTGGACTAGGTCAGGAATTGGATGGTTTATTTAATGCCTCAAAAACAAAACTGTTCATAGTTTTATATTTTTAAATTGCTAGATATAACCGTAAGGTCTATGTTAATAGTGTCTTCTCTCGCATTTTTCGCCTGTGGAAATGTATTCCGATTCCTTGAATCTCTCTTATCTACTATTTTCAAAAAATTAAATGCCACATCAATCCCCTTCTCCTTCCTAAAGTCTGTTTTTTCTCGTCGTTTTCATTCTCTTTGCGGCATAGTGGCCTGTCTTATTTGTGGTCGAACGATTATAATACAAATATACCGTTCTCTTTTTTCTAAAAGAAACAAAAATACTCTTATAGGACTTTGCTTTCTACTTGTAGAGAGACAGCCATTACAACAGGCTCCTACATACTTTATGATACATAGCTATATTTATACTCCTTTTCTCCTCAGAACATCGACGGATCTAGGTGACTCGTGGGAAGACTAAGATGGTGATCGCAAAACCACCAATTGCTGGAACAGGCCTCAAACGATTTCAATGGGATCTGCAATAGGAAGATGACGTGAACCCAGCCTAACTTAGGATATGCACCCAGAAGTCAACTGAATCACATGAAGTTACAAACCCCTGACCTCCGGCAGTTTCAACATATCGTCGAAAGAATATCAAAAGTTTGGAAACCGCATAACACTAGATTGGCCGATGTTAACTTTACGGAATCCAGAACTGAACATGATATATATATAATTAATTTCTTGATTTTCGAGCAAACGCCAGGCTTGTAGGTATTGGAACAGGTACACATACACAATTTGAACTTTATATATGAAATAACTCCATATAGGTAGAGTTCAGATTAATACGTGATTATGAAAGTTAAATTACCATTACGATAATAACTAATTTTCAAAGATATGTTCTCGTCATTTATCAATCAATGCAGGTGTAAAAATTTCATTTGGTAGCACAGTAGTTGTATTAGGTAGCGGCAAAATTTGCAGAGAAATTCGACCCTGGCTGAATTTTCTGTCTTTTGGGAATGTAGTCAGAGAGATGGCAGAAAAAAAAATTCTTGTGGATCGCATCTAAACAAACTCGACTCCAATTTCCATATATGATTCTTAAGCCTTCTCGCTTACTACTTTTCGTGAATTCCCCCGTTTTTTTAGGCTTATTTTCTCGTTATATTTTCCATTGTTTTATGTATTCATTGATTCGCATATCTGTACTTTTGGCGATGGGGCGTCTGAAATTCACTTCTCATTTTCATTTCAAATTTCCCTTGCTGCAGTAGACTTTTGTATTCTTTGTTAAACTTATCTTTATATTTCGACCCGACATTTTTTTTCGCTTATTCTTTTCTTTCTTATTGTTCTTCCTTATATTTTTTTGTTTTAAAATATTTTTACATTATTTTTGTACACTTCAGGCTTATTTCATATTCATAGATCCGTTCGAATTGATTTAGCTTTCGAAATATTTGAAACTGTTCTTTCTTACTTTCGTTTTCTCTGTCTATGTTTAATTATTTAGTTTTCTTTCTCTCTTTTTTATTTTAGAATTTCTTTTTTTTTTTTTTTAACTTTATTCTCAATTTCATTCTTATTTTGGTTCTTTTTTGCTTTCTTTAAGAATTTTTAGTTACTGTAGTCATACTTGATTTTCATTCGTTGTTTTTTTTTTATTTCCCTTCCATTTTTCTGCCTTATTTCTTTTGTTTTTCTTCTTATTTTCGTTCTTTTAATTTTTTCACTTATATTTTTATTTCTTTCTGTCAATCATCCTTTCGTTCTGTCATTATTTATTTTATTTTGTTAGCGTTATTATATTTTCTTTAAAAAAAATGGCACGGCGTAGTAATGGATAGCGGGTCGGATTGAGGAATCAGAGAAACGAGTTAGAATTCCAGCCGGATTCGTTATATTCATTTAGGAAAGATATCACCACAATAATGAGTAAATATAGCCTTGGGTGGCAACCGATCTAGGAGAAGGACAACTCTGAATTCTAAAACTTCAAAGTAGGTGTTAAATCGTTCATCAATCCCTAATTGGACTAACCTGGTGTGTACGGCTACAATGTTGAAAATATGGTCAATCAGGAAGGAGTTTCTCCAAGAATGTGAAAAACCTTAAAATGAGTTTTCATCTCAGGTAACTTTGTTTCATTTCTTATTTAATTCGTTTTTTCATGTCTCTCTTTTTTTTTTTTTCTTATATCGTTCTGTCGTTCTGTATTTTAGCTTTGGTGCTTTTTATTTTAGACATGATTTTGTTCTTTTTCTTTATTTTAATTTTATTTATTTTTTGTCATTTTTTCTTTCTTACTTTCATTTATTCCGACGTTTTCATTTTTTATTCCTTTACAGTCGTAACTTCTTATTTTTCACTTGTTTTTAATTACTTTTCAGTGCTTCTTCTTTTTCAATTTTTCTTCTTTTTTCAATTTTTCTTCTTTTTTTATTTTTTCTTCTTTTTTCAATTTTTCTTCTTTTTTCATTTTTTTCTACTTTTTAAATTTTTCTTCTTTTTCTTTTTTTCTTCTTTTCTCAATTTTTCTTCTTTTTTCAATTTTCTTCTTTTTTCA